CTTGGGCTGCTCCTGCCCCCCAGGCACAGCCGCAGCCCGCCCGGAGCGTCTGCAGGAAGAGGATTCCGGCGCCAGCCAGCAACCTGTGTTATTCCTGAGGTTTATGCCTTCTATCGCTGCAGGGAATTGGCACAGGGGGTTTGGACACACAGAGTGCCTCTCCTGGGATGAGAGCTCACCCAGCAGCAGAGAGCACAGCTACCCGAGTGATTGCTGCTCTTTTTTCACCCCCTGTGACGTGGCAGTCGGTGTCATTCATCCAAAATAAAACCAGCTCTCTGCTCCTCAGCCTGACCCGAGAGCGGCTGCGACGGCAGCGAGTATTAAGAGCTGCCTGCCACTCCGTTGCTACTTACTCGGCCGTGCTTACTGTCCTCCCCGCTGGCGCGTGTGCCCACGCTTTGTGCCATGAACACAAGTTAAAAAGAAGAAGAAATTGTAAAAAATCGAACAAGTAAGAGCCAAACTTATTGTGTATAAAAGCAAAAGGTTAAGAATGTTCACAACCTCGCCAAGGGGCTCAGGGAGACAGGAGAGCTTCGGAGAAGGTTCTCTGAAAGGTGTTCTTAAGGAAAAAAAGGTAAATATTCAGACTTACTAAGGAAAGGACGTGCAAGAGGCAGTGAATGGCCTGAGGAACTGTCACCAATCACATCCTGGGACTAAGACAGCCCCTGCCTCTTGATGTCATGGTCTAATAAAGTACCGGGCTTGGCAAGACCCAGGCTCGAAAGGCTGCTCTGCAACAGGCTGTGACAGAGAACAGGGTGCTGGGAACACTGCTGCATCCTACCTTTGGCGAGTGAATCCTGTACACTGCGCTCAGGCACCGGATTACCAGGGACTTACCTTGTGTGTGGAGTTGAAAAGATGACACAACTACTAACAGTATCGTTAAAAGAGGAAAAAAACCCTAAGAATTCCTCCTCTCCTGCCCCAGATGCAGGCTCTTACTCCAATAAAAAGTACCACAAGAAACTCTTGCCACGTTAACGATCTACGCTTCCAAATTAACTGTAGCCGCACAGAAGCAACTGCTACTTCTCCTCCTGGAGCCCTCTCACTGTGGCCTCTCCAGGGTTTAGAAATCAGGCGTCTACAACAGCCAGCCAACGCTCAGCGCAGCAACGCTACTCACACTGAACCAGAATCCCGGAGAGAGCAAGCTTGAATTTCTCCTTAGCTTCTTCCATCTCTTTCTCGTGAGCCGCTTTCTCATTCACCAGCCGGCGGACGTGGCTGTTGGCAGACTGGATCATGGAGTAGAAGTTGTTGGCGGTCCTCCTGTTCACTTCTCCCCGCTCTATCCAGGTCAGCAGGGTCTGTATGGCTTCCAAGAACTTTGTGTCATCTGCAGCAAGGAAGGACACCGTCACACCACGGAAGCAGAGGGTGGCCCGCGAGGCTTTCAGACCCCGGCACGGCACGACTGCTCTCCTCCAGGGGCCAACATGCTCTGGGTGGCGAACCACAACCCTCACGCACGGCGCTGCCTGCAGGCGAGGCTAACCAAAGGAAGGCGAGTCCCACACCAATTTGACGGAGCGAACCATCTGCTGAAGGAAGGAGGAGCAACCGCTGGAAAGCGACTGGAAAACGTCCTATGTCTACACATGTACTCTTTCGGGAAAGAAAGAATCCTCCAACTGCAAAACGATAGGGCCACATGCGGGTCCTGGGCATCAAAGACGGTCTTACAACTCACACTAGCCCTTCTACCATGAACCATGGTTTGGAAAAACTCGTACTCAGTACAGATTTGTTTTTACACAGACAAGCAGTTTGGGAAGAGAGCTGGCGAGGAGAGCTGCGTGTGCAGCCTGAGGGGCCCGAACGGGCTCTGCACGGCCCAGGCGACACAACCACCTCAGCTCAGCCGGACGACTGCTGGGGAGCGCCGATCCGTCCCGCGCAGAAGTCTGGCCGTGGCCCGCAGAACCACTTACCTTTCAGCTTCTCGGCGACAACGCTGCACTCGTGGTCCGAGTAATGGACAACGGGGGGCGGGGAGGGCGGGCGGAAGCGCTCCTCTTCCAGCCGCCTGCGATGCCGCTCCTCGCGCGCCAGCATCCGCTGCTTACACTCCCACTCGTACAGATCGTCCCGAGCCTGAGCAAAATCCACGTGCAGGCGTCCGGTATCCTTCTTGTCAGTGCTGGAGCCCAGCCTGATGCGATAGCCTGGCAGGGACGACAACAGCGTTCAGGCAGGACCTACCGTGGGCTCCAAACTCCCACCAGTGCCTGTCCCTCATTCCCACAGAGCCAGAAAGTCCCTGAGCAGGAGAGCTGACTGAAGAGTTCAGCGCACCGAGGGCGACACTGGGAGACGACACCGTTCTAGGGGGTTTACTGCCACCTGCCCGTGTTTTGCAGGAGGTAGGCAAGATCTTTCATGGGCTGTTCCTCCTCGGAGCATGAGCAGGTCCTGGGTCCTGAACAGCAACTGTCCAATTGCACATGAGCTCTCGGGCTGCGGGACTGAGCCCGGCTGTTCGCACGGGGAAGGCAGAACTGCCTCGGATTCACTTCCCACTCTGAGGAGCAGCTGAGGGAGCTGGGGGGTTCAGCCTGGAGAAGAGGAGGCTCAGGGAGACCTTATTGCTCCCTACAACTCCCTGAGAGTAGGGTGCAGGGTTGGGGGGGAGGTCAGTCTCTTCTCCCAAGGGACACGACATGAGGGAACAGCCTCAAGTAGTGCCAGGGGAGGTTTAGGTGGGATATTAGGGAAAAATCCCTTCCCAGAAAGGGCTGTCAGGCATCGGAACGGGCTGCCCAGGGAGGTGGTGGGCTCACCGTCCCAGGAGGTATTTAAGAGATGCGAAGACCAGCTGCTCAGAGACATGGTTCAGTGGGGGGCTGGGCCATGTTGGGTTAATGCTTGGACTGGGTGGTCTTAAAGGCCTTTCCCACCCTAAAGATCTCATGATTCTATGATCCACAAACTCACAAAGTTGGGGATGGGAAGGGAGAAATGAGAGGTGAGACACTGCAAAGAGGGCAGCAGATGGGTGGCAGTAATCTTCAGCACAGCCCCCATCATCCAGTGGGATCAGGAATAAGGTTGGGCAGGTGCACATCCACTGTGTGGGAGCTCTTCTCACCACCAGCAAAGCTTGCAGGAGTCCTCTTCTGGATGCACAAACATGCCAGAAGGCTCTTCTCCGTGGCAAATGGGGAAGCAAATCTGGACTACAGAGAGATTTCATACAAAGAACAAACCCAGGGACAACCCTTGGGTGTGGAGGACGCACAAACGACCACGGCTTCGGGCAGGAGGATCTGTAAGCAGAGAACTCCTGCAGCTGAAGGGGCCAGACTGGCTACAACCGCAGAGACGCTGCTCTTGCTGACGGGGAACTGCAAGTCCAGCTCAAGGCTCTGGAACGAGACGCAACGCTTGCGATCCGTCACAACACAGTACGGAAGAGTTTCCATTAGTTTAACCAGCCAAGAGCATTTCCCTCACTTATCCTGGCAATCTCATCCCTCTGGAAAGAGTACGGGCTTTGGAGGCAGCACACTGGCTGGGTAACACACTGAAAGAATGGATTTGGAAGGGATTTGAGCATGGAAACAGAAAGTATGAGCGTGTTTTTCCAGAGCAGTAAAGAATCAGATGGAGCTGCCCAGGGCAGATGTAACCAGCACAGCGAATGCCGGCCTGGCCGGGAACACACGACCTGCCAGTCATACGGTGTGTGACACCAACCGTGGGGTCATGTCCCCATGTGACAAACATCAACACCCTACAGACCCTGAACAGGGGTGCCCTTGGCACCGCCTGTTCCAGCTCTGGTGACTAACAGGGAAAATCCTACTGATAAAAGTCAACCACATTAGCCAATTAACAAGGAACTGGGAGCAAACTTGTACAGGATCCTTAAGGATCATCTAGGGAATCTGCTGGATATTGATCTGGGTAAGATGGATCTGTACCTCACCCCAACACTGTGCAGAGGTCTGCAGTGCCCAGAGCGCTGCCAGCTTTCCTACTGGGAGCTGTTTTCGTGTAGTTCAGCAGAAACTCAGCAGCAGCCGAAAAAGCAGCAAACTGACACAACATTCCACGGATTTTCCAGTCATCAGAAAGGCATCATTACACCTCCGTCCCCGAATTCTGGGCTGGCACCCAAGACGTACGCACACCTACCCGAAAGATAGAGCGCCTTGTCCACCATGAACTCCTCAGCAAAGCGGATATGACAGAAGTTCTTCTTTCTCTTCCGAATGGCGATGACCTCCCCACACTGCTCAAACACTTCCATGATGATCTGCTCGGTTCCGTTTTCCGGCAGCCCTCCGACGAACACCGTCTTGCACCCCGGGGGCCTCTCTCTCGTTGCTGGTGGGGGAAGATCTGATGAGAGGAAGAGAGAAAGCAGCCCAGGTTAGGTTTGGGTCATCAGCACATGTTCCTTTCATCCGCCCACCTCTCCAGAGAGACGGCCGTGCCTTCCTGGCTTCCTTAAACGTACGCCCTGCTCCACTGCGTGCGACTTCACCGAGCAGCAGGAGCTGCTACCCAAGAAAAAGCTCATTTATCAGCCTGTTTCCAAACAAAACAGGAGCCTGACGCCCTCCGACCACTCTCTGAGCAAGCCAAGGCTCACTGAGCCCCCATCGCAGAACACGAGCTGCACCAGGACCTCAAAACTTTACACTGGGGGCTGCGATAGAAACACAACTTAAAGGACTGTCCTAACGTAAAGGATACGTGGAAAACGCACACAGAGGATCCTAAAGGGCAAACGCAGCAGTCTGCAAGGGGTGCGCCATACCAACGCTAAGGAAGGCCACGATACCTGCGAGGAATTCGCATTTCAGGCTCCAGCCCTCTGCAAGGACACACCAAAGGAGGGGACCGGAACGCTTTCCTCCCCAGTCCTTATCCGTCTAACAACCCAAAAGGCTCTTACCCGAGGGGAACACTCAGTGACAAGCACAGGCTTTCCCTATCGCTCTGTCACCTGCCCGTCAGCCCCTGGCCCGCGGCGACTCGCCCCAGAGCGGCTCCGTGCCGGCACGGCGAGGCCTCCCCTCACACACTCCTTTGCCAGCACACACACACGAGCTCCCCGACAGACAGCCCGAGAGAGGACAAGACGTAGCAGTTACGTGGGTTAGGCGGGAAGAGAGTGCAGCTTTTGCAGTGAATGATCTCCTTCACGGCAGGCATGTCCGGAGGGATGGGAGGTGGGACTATCCCCAAGCCTGGCATCATGGGGTTGATCGGGGGGATTCCAGTCATCATCCCAAGCGCAGGATCGAAATCTAAAGGAGAGAGAGAATAAGGGAGTCAGGTAGCAGGTTGGGCTGCTACAGCTGGGTATTCAGGCAGGAGTGGAGTGCTCTCCCCACACGTGCCAGCGAGAACTGCCCCAGTCAACAGGAAGAGAGGGAACACGGTAACACAACCCACCACAACTTCAGATTTGTGCCCTTACAACCACCTTTCAAAATCTGCTTCGCTGCTGATGGCCTCGGCCAAACAGACTTTCTCTGTTCAAATAAACTCCTTCCTTTTCCACTCGACAGACCAAGCTCACCGACAACGTGATGGAGCTGGAGAAAAACCCCAGGACTTGGTCCTGAGCACACAACGCCCTGTCCGACCTGTGACAAAGCTATTGCCACGGGAGGCAAACGGACATGCGCAGGACAGCCCCTTCCCGAAGGGCCGGAGGAAGGCTCCCCAAAACATGCATTCCGGCCTCCAACTCACCAGCACGGCTTTCGCATTCCTAGGCTGAAGCTGGGATGCTCATTACTTCCCCCCCTTTGGCAACGTCTGTGCCAGTCAACCCAGTCCCAGCCGTGAGGCGTCAGACCAGTCGCACAAACGCCGCTGCTCCGGGCCAGCCAGCCCCGGGCACGCCGCAGGTACCGGAGCGGCCTGGATGTCCCGCTCTAAGCGGCGCAGAGGCAGCCAGTGGCTTCCCGCAGCCTGCGGCACGCGGCCTTGGCATCCTCCTCCTAAAAGCACTCTGGAGATGGCAAAGCAGCAATTCCTTTTCCTAGAGCTGTTCTCCAAGGCGTCTGCAGGGAGCAATCTGGCCCTCATCCACTGCTGCCTCAAGGACAACTGGAAGGGAGAGGAACAGCTCCCACTGCTGAGACAGGCCAGAGGATGGGAGATACGCAGTGACACTGATCTGCCGGAAAACGCAGAGACGGTTGGGAAACATCCGTGTTGGAGACGAGGGTCCCACTTGTCTTCCCAGCACAGTCCGAAAAAGGCGCGACCTCAGCGCTGGCAGCAAGAGAGGCCGGCCAAGGTGTGTTCCAGCCCCTTCCCCACGTCCCTGGCAAGGTGGTGGCTGTTCTTCCCAGCCCTACAGCCAGCGGTGCCAGGGCTCGTGCTGGGCTCTGTGCCACGTCTCAAGGACGGGCACGTGACGCCACAGCGTTTGCAAGTCTCTCAGTTCACTTCACATCTGATGATTCTTCACGCCAAGGAGAGCAGTCTCACCTCGTCCTGGGAATCTGTGACTGCCTCAAGGTTGGTGACGGCAACGGGCAGGGATGCCGGTCAGAAAATCCTTAATAGAGGGGAGCCTGGGGGATCCAAGGGAGGAGGACGCCAAGAGGGGCGCTTCTGTGATTAAACAAGACTTAGAGCTTCCTAACAGCACGAAGGGATACGATTCTCAGAGCAAAAAAAGAGGGCAACGAACCGTCACCTTCTAACGAGAAGCAGAGGGTGCGTGTGCAAGGGCAAAGAGAGTCCGTGGCGGGGGGTTGTGGCAGGTCCCGCCGTTTGCTGCCCAACAAGGCGCCGTGCCAGCCTGCACAGAGACCTGCTGCTTCCGCTCGGAGGCTAAACCGTGGCTGCAAGCGAGAGGCTTAAGCAGCACATTGAGAAGAGCCAGTCTGCATTTTTAAGAACAAAAAAAGAAGGAAAAAAGGGTCCTCCAGGACTTTGAAGTGCTCAAAAACATCAGGCCTGGCAGGCGGTTTGTGGTGAAAGCTGCGATACCCTTTATACCAAGCTGGCAGCGGCTGGGTGGAGTGGAAGCGCGTTGCTTTAGACACCGAGGTCCTCCCAAAGCGCCTCGACTTCACGCTTTACTGTTCTGCAGGAACAGAAACCGGCTGGTACGTTCTTAAGTGTTTTTAGACATTTTTACTGTGACCCGAAACTCAAGCGCCAGCGAGCTTCCAGCAAAAGTAGCCCAAAGACGTCACACTTCCGTTATCTCTCATCCTTAACAGCGCCTGCAGACACGACTGGAGTAAACTTCAAACCAGCCCCGCGCTTGGGAACGGACCCAGATCGGTAAACAAGCAGTTTGCTCCTAAACCATTCGGAGCCGTGTTGGGTGCTGACCTCGCCTCCAAAGGATCAAAAGGAACGTTGCTCAGAAGCCTCCCCCTGTCCTACCGGGAACGGGAGACTGGCCTCAAACGCACACCCTCCCAGGACAGACCTGTTCATCCGGCTCGACAGAAGCGTATGAGCAGGGCAATGGCACGGAAACACCCCGACAGCAAAGAGCAACACGAAGGGCACGAGGCCTAGGGGACAGAAGAGCAGGCTGCATGCAGAGCCCACGGCAAACGAAGTGATGCTGTTAATTAACTACAGCCCCAGCGGCACAGCAAACAGCCCGCTCTGTGCCGGAGCAGCACCGGGGCGGCAGAGCGCTGCCAACGCGGACGCTCCCTCCCCAGGTGAGCAGGCGGTTACGTGGGCAGGACCCGGCATCCTTCGCTAGTGCTGAACGCAGCGAAGCGCCGGAACGGTGATCTCCGTTTGGATTTTGGCGCGCAGGCATCCTGCAGAGCTGCGAAGCCAGGCACGGCGCAGCTCCCCCTCGACACATCCCGGCCTGGGCGACTGGCCCACGCACACATAGCCCAGGCTAAAGGTGGTCATTCCTGCAGCAGAATCCTCCGTTCCCTTCTGTCATATCCATTTTACTGCCCTTTTCTTTCACCTTCATCTCCCTCCCGCTCTCGTTACGCGGTTTCCGTTCAGCCTTGGACGCTCTGCTACCGGATGTCACTGGTTTCCTGAGCTCCGGCCGGTCCGCTGCAGCGCACGGCACCCCCCACTAACCACTGTCTGCACCAAAAACGTGTGTTCTCATTACCTCTAAAATCCATTTTAAAACACTGGCACCAAAATAAACCACTTGCAGACAGGAATGCATCTCAAACACACCTCGTTAACGGTTTTCGCACGCGGTAGGCACGTATCCACCTCAACTGAAAGAGCTTCTTCCCACAGACACGTTTGGAGCAAAGGTGGGCACCGGGGGCGAAGCTGACGTACCAGGCAGGAGGGGCTGTCCTGTCATCCCCATGGGAGCCATCCCCAGATTGTTCATCGCAGTGGCCCAGGCGGTTGGGTCTGACATTGGCAGGCCCATCGGAATGGAGTCGAGGCTTAGATTTCTGCCACCATCTGCTGAGATGAAAAAAAAAACAGCTCAGTGAGCTCTTCACTCTTGTGCGGGGCAGACGGTGCCCAGCACGGCTCTGCAGCGTCCGCACCACACCCGGATCTGAACCTAACGCGTCGGAAAGAGCCGAATGAAAAACCCAAACAGTCCAGTCCCTCCCGAGCAGAGACTCTACCGACGCCAGCTCTGTGAACTCGCTGCCTTCAAGAGCCCCTCCATTACGGCGCACCCACCGCAACCGCCAGCTCGGGGGGGTCCCTAAAGAACGCCGATTGAAGGTAAGGGGTACACTTGGATCCCTCCCACGGGATTTGGGAACAAAGGACAAGCATTCAGCGGGTAAACTGTCGTAATTGTCCCGAGTTTAACTGAGGTGGCCAGTCTGTTCCAGCAGAGGAATTGGCTGCCCTCGGAAGGCCTCGTAAGCTGCTATGGTCCACGGAACAACGTGCTTTTATTAAGTTATCTTAAACCTGAACGTCTCCAGTCATTCACGCTGGTCTGCCTCATTATGGTGACGAATTTCA